TATATATATATATATATATATATGTAAATAATGTAAATAACATGAGGTTTGTAGTAAATGGGCCACAACAATGGACGTTTCAGTAGTTTGATATGATTGGTTGATGTTTTTTCCTCAGGTTACCGCTCTGTACCTCTGAAGAACGGTTACAGTGAAGACTTAGAGTTGGCCTCTCTGCTGGTCTACATCAATGTTCAACAGGCAGGGGTGAGCAAACACACACACACACACACAGCACATCAGTATCGATTTACATCTGCAGTTCGATTTCGGTGAACGTGATCACACGACTTGTCCTTTCAGAAAGCAGAGGAGGAGCTGTACTCGTCCTCCAGCCAGCTGAAGAAAAAGCAGGCGGAGGTCGGTGGCGAGCCTTTCCTGTACGACACGCACACCAACATCCAGCACTCCGCCGTCCCGCACCAACACAACCCGCTCACCAGAGAGGGCAGCACCGGGGAGAACCACAGGTTAGCCTCAAACCTCCATGGCGTGTAGAGGGGAAGCCAGGTGGTTTAAATGAAGTCCCTTCTAAATTTTTTCGCTGTATTTTCTTTGCACCCCAGGACAAAAGATAAGAAGATAAACAACAGTAAGTTCTACTCGTGAAGACTCGCCTGTCCATGTCCTTCCTGCCTGAGCGGCGCAGAAATGCCGACTACACATCTAACATCACCTCTATCTGCATACGTAAGAAATTGTGATCTGTGCAGTTAATAGTTTTCCAATTTTGAGATGTTATAATTTTTCCTTTTCATACCCAAAACGGCTTTCTATTTATTTAAGATTCAAAAAAACTTGAGGCACATTTTAATGTAATTTTCTGGGGTAACCTTGGAAATGTAGGAAATCAATAAACTATAATGCAGAACCGGCTGAGGCCGGTTGAGGGAAGGTGAATCGTGTAACTCCTTTAAAAGAGATAAGATGTGAGGCTGTAACATTTCCTCTGAGGTCTCCCCACAGACAGCCAGCGTAGTGCATTCAGTCTGACATCAAACTGTTAAGAGGTGGACAACACTGATACTTGGATGATATTTATTGTGTAACTGAAATAACCTTTTCACTGCAGACTGTTCTTCTGCCGGGGAGCATGTGTCGAATGAATCTTTTATTTTGTCTTAATTTAAAATTCTGATGAGTGTGAGACGACTTGATATGTCCCGGGACGTGGAAATGCTGTTTTTGATGTGTAGTTTCACCAGCGTGACATGATTTTCTCTGTGCGTTTGGAGGTGAGAAGTCAGATTAGTGAAAACGGGCGATGCAATGAGAACTTTTCATGTATTTAATTTGAAGCCAGATGTGGTTGATAGCTTTCCTGTAACTCCTCTGAGGCCTTCTTATGAATCGAGTCAATAAAGAATGCTTGGTTAACTTTACCCTTTATTTCTGTTTCATCTTTATTTTTGCCTAGAGCTGTGTTGCATTGTATTCTCTGTAATAAGCATGTATTTATGATGTTAACATTAAGATTGAATAGCTTAGTAGGCATCCTATATTTTAAGCTCAATTCTGTGTAACGTAGCTGTAAGCCACTTTGTGCCCCTGCCACGTGAAAAACACTACTTTTTATAATATGATACTGGGACACCATGTAGCACTTAGCAGGTGGATTTCCAATTCCCTCATGTATCAGCTATAAAGAGGCCCAGCTTCAACTAGGAAGTTAGAAGTCAAGATGGCTGACAGGTCCAAGGTTATGTTGCAATGTTATTAACAACTTGTTCCATTTCTCTGCCCACATACGCTGACTGTATATAATACACGACAGTAAGTGCAAGTCATTTTCTTATAGACTTCTATACAATCAGACTTCTTTTTGCAACCAGAGGAGTCGCCTCCTGATAGACGTTAGAGAGAATGCAACTTTTAAGACACTTAAGCATTGGCTTCACTCGGTAGAACCGGAGGTTGCCGCCTGGTGATAACACAGCTGAGTTCATCGCCGACCTTCCAGCCGCTATTCTGCGCCCCGCGAGGATCCCCCCTGGACCCCCTTACTAAGGTTCATGCTAAGCCCTAAATTTCCTCCAATACTTTAACACTTTTCTCTGCCTTAATAATTCAAACAGTGACTAAAACACCTTTTCTTCGTAACTGTTGCTGGATGTGCTTATTTCAGGTATGAGCAACAGCCCCTCAAAATGTCCGTGCACGTCCCTGCAGACAGTGCCACTACTCTAACCGACTCCATTCTCATATCTTTGACACCACAAACACACACACAAATTCCACACACTGGTCAGCGAGGTGTCCTCTCACTCACGGCGTAAAAATGAAACAATGGGAGTTACAAGGCTGGAGTACGAGAGGTGCACCTCAGCTTAATTTCTATGAAATGAACTGTCTGAGCCAAGAGTTTTTTAGCAGCTCACCATGGCAACCTTGGACACAGTTAGATACACACAGCTGATTGAGATAAGCTAATTAGTGCCATTTGACACGCCCACTTAAACAGGGGGTTTATTTTCTCATTATTATATTTTCTCATTCACACTTTCAGCTAGAACCTCCATTCAAACCTTACTATGTTCTTGAAACAATGGGTATTATTCAACTTTTGAAGCCAACAATGGAGTTTGGGTGAGCTTTTTCAACAAACCTTAAAATTATATTTTATTCATATTCTTCAAATTTGTTTGATGACATCCATACATATAAACATATTTCCAGTTTTCCAACTATTCCTACGACTTCACTTTCCATTTAAACCAGCAATGCAGTGTAGCACATAATCTCAAAGAGATTAGATAAATACAAACGATGTTAGAATGTGAATTTTACATAGAAGTCTTTCTCCATAACTTAATTATGGTTATGAGCGAGTGAAACAGGAATAACTCACTTGTTAGAAGTGAGATATGCATTTGGCTTAATAATGAGCTCTCTTGCTCTCATTTGCCCCACTTGGAAGCACCATCTCAAGTGCGTCTGTCTCTACGTCTATGGGCCAAATGTTTCCAAGGTTTAGCTTCTCAGGCAGCCTACTTCCTAGCAACATACATCCTAGCTTCCTAGCAACATACAGCAGATCCCCCAATTGTCCTCATTGAGGGGAACATTCTAACCAACCACTACCATTAATATTTACTCTCCATAGCCAACAGCGTTAAGTTTGCAGTTGTATGACCACTGCTATGGTTACTCTGCTACCTGACAGACCCAGCTCTGGGGCGTATTAACTAATTGGCAGTTGCGTGACGTCAAAACAAGTTGTGTTGACAGCTAGCCCCAACTAGCCTGATGCTAGCTAGTCTTCTTGCGTCGGGTCCTGGCAAGTCCCTCGCCGACTCTCATGGTTTTAGAAGTGTGTTGGCCGTCTTTCGTCAATGCACCGTAGTGTATCGGTTTGAGACATGCAGGATAGGTACAGCGAGATAGGCTTTGTCCAGCAAATACTCTGTTTGAATTTAGTGCCGAGACAAAATGGCACGCACCGAGGAAACGATACATCTCTCGACGACTTCTCAGGTGGGCTAATGTTTGGTAGCTTGCTAGCTAACGTTATACAGGCTGTGTATCCGTGCTGAAATGCTGTAACGTGTTCTGAGGATGGATACCACACGAAGTCGCGTCTAGTATTTTAATTTTAACGAACATGGGGAACGTTTGAATGTCCTTAATGTCCCTTAAAATATATCCCTACATGTTTGTTTGTACGCGTTAGCATTGTCAAGGTACTGTGTAGCAGTGAAGCTAGCTAACTTCCTGCTTCATCCCAACCATTGTTTTTATAGTCGGACTCGGATATTACTGATTGTGCCACTGCATTGCATTGTTTCTAGCTATTGTAGGCGTGCAGGTTAACGTTATTGTTCTGTTACCTGTAGGTATTTGAAGTAAGAAAGTATATCGTAATTGTTTATGTATTCCGGGAAATGAATTCAAAATGTCATCGCTAACCCTCTGTCGAAGCCTCTCTTTTGTATAGTTTACAAATGCGTAATAGCGCTATTAGTGGAAGAGACTAACTTTACAGGTGCTTGAGTTATACGATACGGTGTGTATCACAGAAAGCCTGCACAGTTGAGTGTATATAGTGGCTGTGGAGGGTTGAGCAGCCATGTTCTGCAGTTGTTCCGCCAGAGACGTGCCACTTACTGTAATTAAACCGTGTTGATGTTGCACTGACTTGTTCTTCCATTTGACTATGAGCCTGGATAAAGCGTAGTCTGTGATTCTGGCTTAATGCAGTGCTGTGATTGACAGGGTCTTAAAGGATGCATTGCATTGTAGTGATAGTTTGCAGTTAGCTGTTTTAAGAATGCATTCTGAACAACATCTGACCTTTTGAATACATTATTTACATTTATAACAAATACCACAATGTGCCATACTGGTGTACCTAACAGGGTATTGGACTACCTGTTCTTAAATTTTGGTGTGTACTGAAGTATCTCAGTCAAGGCTGTCCATTTATTACCATGGATTCACTGGGTATCATAGAGCATTCATGATTATTATTGATTCACTAACTGCTACTATGTTGTTGTGTGCATTTTGAAATGTCCATTGTGATAAACATATGACTTAACTTGGGACTCGAGTCTCCGCCTCGGTTGTTTATTCAGCTTTTTCTGTCATTTGAAAACATTTCTTCTCCAAAGAGGAGATAAAGTGCATGGAGCCAGATAGCCCGGATCACATTAATGAATGATCTAATTGAATTGTCACAACTTGTACTTTGATTGTCATGTAGTGATGTGTGGCTGCATGGCCGTGTGTTTGTCCAGAGATGTGGTATGGAGTGTTCCTGTGGGCAGCGGTCTCCTCGCTGATCTTCCACCTGCCTGCGGCTCTGCTGTCCATCGCCATGCTGCGCCAGCACAAGGTGGCCCGATTCATGCCCATCGCCATCCTCCTCATGGGCATCGTGGGACCACTTTTTGGGGGGGTCCTCACCAGTAAGACCATACTTGATCCTGTGAAATATGCTCGTATATTGGATTGTATTGATTTGGCTCGGCTAGGGATGTCACGATACCAGAATGTGTCTGTCGATACCGACACCCGTGAAATTCCTTAATTCTCAATACCCAATTCAATACCACGTTAAAAAACAAACTACTAAACACCGTGTTCCGTTCAACAGTGTACATAAACTGTACTCACTGCTCCCTTTTCAGGGAATGTCAGTTAGAGGAACTTCTTCAACAAATTTCTTTCATTTGTAAAACACCCTGCAATGACATCACTTCCTCTGTGCATTACCTGGTAACTTTAAGCAGCAGCTAACATTAGCACTGACAGCTAACGTTAATGTTTGTTATATTATTCATGTTTCATGCATTTTACAAGATTACATTTGAACACATCATTTTAACTTGTAATTTACCTTCGCGCTAATACTCACTCACTTTACTGATTAGAGCTTGAACGCACCATAATGAAACTCTATGCAACCTTGGTTAGCGTTAGCTCTGCAGGACTGATCGGCTGCTAACAGCTGAAGTTAACTAGCCCTCCTTCTGGCGAATTCGACTCGGATTTGTTGTTGACAATGTAACATTATCAGTAAAAGAATATGTTGCGTCCCCTGGAAGCTATAGTTACATCCCTAGGCTCGGGTGTCTCTACATTGTGATATGTTATCAGTGAACGGTGATTTTGTAACTGGGAAAGATTTTTTTTAAATGATCAATTCATTACTCAATTCAATGAAATTTTACTGCCGTAAAATAATTGCTAGTTTATCAGAAATGAGGTCAAACTAAACAACAAATCTGTTGAATAATGTTTTTGTTTTTGTTTTTTTAAAGGTGCAGCCATAGCAGGTGTGTACAAGGCGGCAGGAAAGAGGATGATCTCTTTGGAGGCTCTTGTGTTCGGTGTGGGACAGTCATTCTGTGTCCTCATCATCTCCTTCCTCAGGGTCCTCGCCACCCTCTAGCAGCACCGAGGCCCGCCTGGCCGGCACCTAATGCCGCCGGGTGAGTCTGACACCAGTCGCACCTTCTCTGGACGGGACCTGAGTTTAACACGGCGCAAGACTAGATTCACCTGGGACAATCCCAGGACACACGTAAACCAGTCAGACCTGGGACGTGATGTCATTTGCTACCGGTGGACCAGAGACCAGAGTGGATTTTATTCAAACTCCTGACTTGCTTGCCATCCGTGTAACGTTTCCACCGTAGGACGGCACAATGCTGCGTTCACGTCACATGACTTGTATGATGTGACGGCAGAGTGGGAGGCTGTAGTCCCCTGTTGCCGGCGGTTACAGGTTAGCAGCAGGATGACACTAACCTTTCTCAGGGTGTGTGTGTGTGTGTGTGTGTGTGTGTGTGTGTGTGTGTGTGTGTG